CCGCACATGCTTTGAAGTCATGTACCTTTGCCCTGCTGTAGTGCTGTAGTTGGCGCGTCCAAATTGTTTCGCCCGCAAAAGAACAAGAACCGCCTTTTTGTTTGATGCGTAGGGTTACAAGTGCCAGAAACAACGAGGCATTCGCCTGTTGGGATGATTTAAACCGAAGGCATTTGTAGTCAAGCATGCCATGCTCCAGAAAAAAGAGGGCGGTGTGACGCAGAAGTGGCAGTTGGAGGGTGTAATCCTCCGACAAGGAGCCAGAGTGCACCAACCCCTCCATGACGCTCAGCAGACGCACTATGAAGGGAAATGGCGTTGGTACCGTCAAACGGAAGGACAGAGCAGCACAAACGCTGCGCTCCATTTTAATCACCTCTTCCCGTGTGTATGTGTTGGCGCTGATGTGTACACACTCCTTCACCTCTGGGGGCCAAATTTCCTCGTATTTGGCGGCCAAAAGAATGGCGGTAATGCCTACGAGCTGCAGCTGCGAACGGGCCACGTACGTCCCCGATGACTGCTTGGTGCTCACACAGGAGAGGTAGCGGTCCAAGATGTTCACCGCCAGGTACATTGTTTCAGAATGAAGCTTGAACTTCAGGTGGACGTCAATGAGCCAATCCACCAGAATCATACGCATTTTCTCATTAATTTCCGGTTGATACGTTAAGTATTTTGGTGACACCACGACCTGATCATTGGCTGCCTGCCCCTCCGCCTGTTTCTCCTTCTCCATGTACATGACAGTAATATCTTTGACAAGGTCGTTGCAGAAAACAGGATCGTCCGCGTGGTAGCGATCGGCGCGGGGGCTTAAAAGCATCTCCTTCGCCCTTTCCGTTGCGCCAGAGCCAAAGTCACAGAGACTTGATCTAGACACGGTCGTGGAGGAGCCAAGGCGATATGAACCCCAGCCGCCACCAATGCGCTGGGCAAGACGTTGCTTTACATCGCCAATGCTTCCCGAAAGGTTCGACACTTCACGCAGTGTTGTGGAGTTCATCTTGGGGCTTAATGTTTGAAATGGCAGTGAATGCCGTCTACCAGACACCAACCCGTCCTGTGGTTCACTTGACCCCCTCCGTGTTTCTAATGTGTCCCCTTCTCCCCGTTGGTCTTTTCTCCCGCGTGATTTTGCAGCCTCCTTCTGAGTTTCTCTTTGGTTTGTTTTTGCCTTTTTTTTTATCCCTCCTTTTGTCTTTTTGGCTGCTGCTGCTGCTGCTGCTGCTATTTGTTTACTATTTTTCTTTTTCTTTTTTTTTCTTTCGGGTGTATTTTGTCCTCCGCCTCTCGTTCTCCTCTCTTCCTTTTTTGTTTGTGTGTGTGTTGTTGTCTTTTTTTTCTCCAAGGAGGAAGAGGGGAAGGGGTGTTGTGTTCGTTACGTCTAATGTGCGTCTAATCCCGTCTGGGTGTCTGCGCAAACGCAAGAGCAGATAAAAAAGAAAAAAAAAAAAAAGGAGAATTCCTTTCGACGACGTGCACACAACAGCCGCCAGTAACTCAACACGCCTGAGGCTGCACGGGAGGGAAAAAAGAGAGGCGTCTGTGGGCGCAGACACATCGACAGGAACGCAGCGCAATGGGCCCCCCCTCTCACCTCCCGCCCCCGGTGCTCTCTCACAGTTGACAAGCGTCCGTCAATCCCGCAGGGGGGCATTATAAGCCTCATTCTCTAAAAGAAAAAGAAAGAAGGAAAATAAAAGTGACCGAAGCAAGTAACCATACAAGGACGTCCGGCTCTCACGGTTGCACGCGTGCAGATATCCATCAAGACAGACAGAGAGAGAGAGAAAGAGAAACACTCACACCCTCCTCTTCTTTCCTCCCGTCTTCGCCTCCGTTCCTGAATTGTTGTTGCTTTGCGCCTTTTATACCCTCCCATCGCACACACAAACACAAATGCATCCACACAAATATCTAATTACACATCCCAATTGATTCGCTGCTGAATAAAACCCTCCGGTGCATTTCTCATCTGTTGTTTATTCTTTGCTGCTGCTGTTCTCCTATTAGTTTGTTTTCTTTCTTTTCCTCATGTGTCGCGTGTGCGCCTTACCCAACCCCATGGGGACCTATTTACTTCCCCTACACACTAACAACATAGACAGCGGGAGGTGATGCACGATGTGCCTTCCTCACCTTTTTTTTTTGTCCCCTCGGCTCTTTTCCTCCTCCTCCTCCCATCCTTTTTTTTTTTTTTTAATTAATCCTCTTACTCACAACTTTTTTTTTCTTTTAATACTTCTTCTCCTCCTGTCTTTGCTATCATCCCTTCACGTCGATTAAGGCGTCCCCCAGTCTCCCTCTTTTGGGCCATTCATGCTACCGCGTGTGTACGTACCGCCGCCCTCATATAAGCACTTTTTTTTTTTTTTAGCTTATGTGCGTGGATGTACATGTAGAGACCGCATAAAAAATTTTTAAAAGTTAATGGTCTTCGCGAAGCATGCCATGCACGCCTCTTTCAGGGCCTCTGACATTGTCGGGTGGGCGTGGCAGGTGCGGCCGACATCCTCCGAACTCGCGCCGTACTCCATCGCAAGGCAAGCCTCACCGATGAGCTCACCAGCAGTAGTGCAAACAATATGCACGCCAAGAATGCGGTCTGTCGCTTTGTCGACAAGAACCTTTACAAATCCGTCTTCAGTGCTTACCGCCTTCGCGCGGCTGTTCGCATTGAATGGGAACTTGCCAACTTTGTACGCGACGCCTTCCTTCTTGAGCTCATCCTCGCTCTTGCCAACGGACGCCACTTCAGGCATTGTGTAAATGACAGCAGGAATAACGCCGTAGTTCACGTGGCCGGGCTTACCAGCAAGTATCTCAGCGCACGCCACGCCCTCGTCCTCCGCCTTGTGTGCGAGCATTGGACCCTTGTCGACAACATCTCCAATGGCGTACACGTCCGGGATGCTGGTCTCAAAGTGATCGCCAATCTTCACAAAACCGCGCTCATTCTTCGCAGCGTTAATTTTATCCAGGCCAAGGCCGCCCGTAAATGGCCGCCGCCCAACAGACACAAGTAGTGCCTCACACGTGAGCGTCTCACGCTTGCCGTTTTTACCCTCCACCTCGAGGGACACGCTGTCACCGTTGTTCTTCCCGCCCACCACCTTCGTGCTCGTCATAAACTTCATCTTCTCATTCTTCGCGAGAGCTCCTACAAGGGCGTTCGTGACGTCCTCATCAAGCGTCGGAGCACAGCGAGGTGCAAACTCAACAACCGTAACCTCCGCCCCAAGCCGCGCCCACACGCTGCCGAGTTCGAGACCAATCACGCCACCGCCAATCACTACCATCGTCTTGGGGACGCGAGGAAGCGCGAGGGCACCTGTGGAAGAGAGCACCACCTTCTCGTCGAACGGCAAGAAGGGCAACTCCGTCGGCTCGCTACCTGTGGCAATAATTGTCTTCTTCGTCTCAAGCATCTCCTGCTTGCCGTCAAGACCATTCACCCTTATACTGTGAGCGGTCTCAAAGCTGCCCTCGCCCTTGTAGTATGTCACCTTGTTCTTCTTAAACAGGTACTCCACGCCCCCGGTGAGACCCTTCACTGCCCGTTCCTTCTGCTGCTGCATCTTTGCGCTGTCCATTGTGACTCCCTCGCCACCCATTAGGCCGTAGCGTGCAAAGCTGGCGTGGGCATCGTGGTACAGGTGGGTCGCGTGGAGAAGCGCCTTCGAGGGGATGCAACCGACGTTGAGGCAGGTGCCGCCCAGTGTGCCACGCTTTTCGACACACGCCGTTTTCATGCCCAGCTGTGCGGCCTTGATAGATGCCACGTAGCCGCCGGGACCACCACCAATCACAACAACATCGTAAGGGTTAAGCTTGACTGCACAACGACGGAACATTACGCACGCTCGTTGTCTCTCCCTGTCGCTCACTCCCTCGCCTTTTCCTTTCGCTTCTTCGCACTTTGATCCCTGTAGACCGCTCACACAGTGGTATGCCGCGCTGCTGTCAATTGCCGGGTAGGGGGTAAACGCAAAACAATAAACAGAAAAAAAGAAAAAAAAAAAAAAAAAAGAGAGAGAGAAAGAGAAATTAAAGGAGACCGTTGCACCAAAAGGGAATAAACTGCCGCCGTGCAGCACTGGCCACACAACAATGCAATCAGCCACCACAAGCCGCCACCCACCTCCAAAAAAAAAAAAAAAAAAAAAAAAAAAAAACGACGCATTCACAGAGAAACACAAAAATCTCTTTCTCTCCCTCTCGTTCTTTTTCCCCTCCTCCTTTTCCCCCTTTTCTCGTCAGTTATTCTTTGCATGGTTTTTTTCATGAGGTTCAGTGACGGCAAAGAAAAACTAAAAGAAGAAATAAGAATGACACACGCCCAAAGAAAAAAAAAAAAAAAGTTTTTTCCTTAAAACACAATCGCATCCCCAGTTAAAAGTGTCAGGAAACAGGCGCACAAATTGATCGCTATAATACGCAAATATGCAAGTATGGTTTAAAAAAAAAAAAAAAAATAGAAATTTCCGCTCCGCGGCATTAAGAATAAAAGGATTGGGTGCCTCTATTTGCCTCGCCATCAAAAGTTTTCCTCAATCTCCTTCCTCTGCGCCTCCGTCAAAAAACTTGGCAGTTCAAACATCACCTTCACGTAAAGATCTCCCTTTTCTGAAGGCATGTGATGTCGCGGCATCCCTTTCCCGCGAACCTTCAGCACCTTACCGTATGGTGTCACGCCAGTGGCCTCCACAAGAAACTCCGTCCCGTCAAGGTGCTCTACACGTCGTTCAAATCCCAAAAGTGCCTCTTTCAAAGTGACGGTAAGTGACATGTCAAGATCGAGCCCATTTGGGCGGCGCGAGAAACGTGGGTGCGGCTTTGTCAGCACCGTCATGATAAGTCTCCAGGAACAAGATCTGGCGATTCATCCGACTCCATC